TTAACTGCCAGAACTGGCAACTTTAGCAGGCCAGGCAGAAAACATGTATCAGTGAAAAATATAAGTGACCTTTTAACTCACTCTGTTCTCAAGAGCTGTGGATATTAAACAAAATAGACCATTACAACCTTACGTGACTAGAGCCATGGAAAATGTCTTGGATCATTACTCTCTGTCCTTGTAAGTAAAACCAAACCTTGACTTTAAAAAGGAGTTTCTTAGCTCAGTGGTGCCGCACCTGCCTTGCAAGCGCAAGGTCCTGAGTTTGATCCCCAGCGCACACAAAAAAAGGCATTTCTGAACCTAGTACAGGAGAAGCTGCTTCTTTCCTCTGTCTCCTCTCTCGTCTTATGATAGGAAACTGTTTTTGATTACTTATGATCTTTTGGGGGAATTCTTAAGGGAGAAATGTCTACACATATCTATGTACTCAGTCCTCCTCCAAACAGGAATAGCTCACTAATCTCACAGGAAGCATGAGAACTGCTAGTCCACATTTCTTTGCTAGAAAGAATTCATGTTGTTGATCACTTCAGAGTGGCCCTAGCTCTTGCTGCCTGATTCATGGGTCAGGGGGGCAGGGTTGTTTTATGCTTTCTCTATCCCTAAGCTGAGGATTTTCCTGCTCTCCCTGAAACTGGGTGAGTTTATCTTTGGTAGGAAAAATAGCTTGGGGTCCAAACTATTTTTTCAGACCCAAATTTGTCATTAATGAAGCTTGTATTATAATCCCCATTTGGATTGTGCCTAATCTAATTTGAATAAAACAATATGAAAAGGAGAAAAGGGAGACTAGACAGACATATGCTATCACCTCACCCAAGAGTTGTTAAGAACAATGAACACATGAAAAATATCAGTTGCTTTATAAGCACAGAAGGTAGATATTCCAAAGGACAGAGCATGGTACTCAGAGCAAATACTCTTGAGCCACACTACCTGAGTTTGAACCCCAGCTCTGCCACTTACCAGCTGTATGACCTTAGACTAGTCACCTAATTTCTCTGTGCTCAATTCTGTCATCTGTCAAATAGACATAGAGATGATGACAGTACTTGCCTCAAAGGATTTTGTGGGGATTAAGTGAGTTAATATTTATATAAGGTTTCAGAATTGTGTCTGATACTTATTACTAATCTGTATTATTATTTTAGGACATTCAAACAGGTATCCTTGTGTTATTAAAGAAAAGGGACAAGGAAGAAGCTTGACACCAATTGGTAAGTTCTGGAGTTTGACACTAGTTTCCTAGTTTGAAACTGGTATGTAAAATGGCTATTATAATCTGGAATTTGTGTTGTAACATGCCAGAAGTACTCTCAATAATGCCAAGCATAAACAAGAATCTATAAATTATGTGTGCCAATGTAATAATTCAGAGTTTTTATAAACTTACGGTTCACTAAAGAAAATGTTTTATCATATGCATATTTTAAGAACCCTTATTCACTGTTATAAGTAAAAAGGTAACATAAAGAGAGGGTATGTGTTCAGAACCAGTGGCAGAAATGGGAAAACCCATACTTAATTATAAGTTCCTTATATGGTTATAGATGCTGGTTTATCTATCATTATACCTGTTTCTCCTATGGAGCTGGGGATTGAAACCAGGGTCTCACACATTCTAAATATGCTCTCCAAGCTATACACCAAGTGCCCCTCACTCCCAAATCTTTCTAGTATCTAGCATTTTACTTCAGCTATGAGATACTGTTTGATTCCTGTTTCTCAAGGTTGAAAACAGAATGTCTTCATTTTGCATCCCTTGTACTTTAAAAAGTAGGTCTTCAGAGGAGACTACTTTTCTTCCTAACATCCTTTTGCTATTCCATATTTAATTATAATATTCAATCTTTAATATCCCATATTTACCCAAGAACAAATAAGCCTTATTTTGAGGACAGAGGTGGAATTTCCCATAAAAAATAAGAACCCAGGTTTTTCTGCTCATATTCTAGCACTATACTTGGCAGTATAAGCAAATAATAGTAGTTTTTCTACATACTGGGGTTAAAATATTACTGTATTTTAATATTGAAATGTATACATATATAGCCACAGTCTCTAAAACTTTTGATAAACAATGCTACAAAAAAGTTACATCTACACAAGCTCAATGCAAACCTGCAAGGGTGTGAAACAGAAAGTGCAAGGTCTTCCTAACATTTCTTAAAGTACTACCATACACATTTGGGTCTAGGATAGTTGGATCCTCAACAACAACTGAAATAACATGGAATTCCACCCTTACCTAAGAGTACAAACTGTACATATAGAAGACGTCACAATGAAATCTAGGAAGGAGGCTAATGACTTGATTTAAAAGTTAACTTAGTTATATCTCCAAAGTGAAACAGGGTAAGTAGTCTGTTGTCTTAGAGTAGGAAGAGAAAAAGGGGTAAAGAAAACTTTAGGAAGAAAATATTCCTTAAGAATATCTTCAGAAGTTCATGATACAGTAAAGAATTATTTCACCTTCTTAAATACTCTTCACAGGAAAGTAGTATAAAACTGTGTGAGAGAAAAAGTTTGAGGACTCATACTTCCTTATTTCAAAACTTATTTTAAAAATTAAGGCAATTAAGACAAGATAATTACTGACATGTGGAGAGACACACAGACAACAGAATTAAGAATCCAGAAATAAACTAAAGTATCTATGGTCAACTAACTTTTGATAAACGTGGGAAAATAATTCATGAGAAAAGAATCCTCTTTTCAATATTTAGTACTTGGACGACTGGATCTTCATATGCAAAAGAAAGAAGCTGGGCCTTTAATCTCACACTGTAACATAAATTCTCAAAATGGATCAAAGGCCTAAATGTAAAAGCTCAAACGATAAAATTCTTAGAAGAAAGCCAGGTGTAAATCTTTGAAACCTTGGATCAGGCACTGATTTACAGATGTGATACCAAAAATTCAAGTAACCAGGAGAAAAAAAATTAGATTTAATGAAAAAACCTTTATGCTACAAAGGACACCATTCAGAAAGTGAAAAGATAGCCAAGATCAAGGGAGAAAATTTTGAAAACCACATTATTTGACATAGAACATGTAATAAAGTGTTTTATTATTACACTTGAATAATAAAAAGACAACACACTTAAAAGTGGTCAAAGGATCCGAAAAGACATTTTTCCATAATAAGCACACTAACAGCTGCTTGTCATCAACCACCAGGCATGTGCAAGGCAAAACAATAATAAGACATACTCATACCCACTAAGTATTGGTGAAAAGTGGAGAACCTGGAGCTCTTATCCCTGCTGGCAAGAATATAAAATGGTTCAGCTGCTTTGGGAAACTGTATAGTAATTCCACAAAATGCTAAAAACAGAGTTCCATTCCTAGATATACATACATACATACATATATACATAAATATACATAACTGAAAACATGTCTACAAATTTGTACTTGAATGTTCTCTGCTGCATTATTTGTAATAGTCAAAATGTGAAAACAGCCCAAATTTCCATGAGCTGATGAACAAATAAAATGTGTTACACTGTACAATGGAATATTATTTAGTCATTAAAAATGAAATACTTAGCAGCTGAGCAGGGTAGTCTATGCATGTAATCCCAGTATTTTGGGGATGACAAGTTCAAGCCCAGCCTAGACAAATTAATGAGACCCTGTCTCAAAAATAAAATAAATAAATAAAAGGCCTAGGGATCTGGGTCAGCGTGAAGGCCCTGGCTTCAATACCCAGTTTCACATGTTCTCAGCAGCTTGCGAGACATACATGTTAAAAAAATCTACAATATGGATGAACCTTGAAAACAACAAAACAGCATATATAGTATAGTATGGCATTTATAGGAAATGTCTAGAACAGGAAAATCTGGAAGAAAGTAAACAAATTAGTAGTTGCTTAACACTGTGGGAAGATGCAAGAAGGGGTATAACTGCTAATGGGTATGGAGTTTTTTCCTAGGGTGATTAAAATGTTATAAAATGGATTAGTGATGACTATACACACATATATGCACATCAAATTGTGCACTATAATGGCACATTATATTTCAATAAAGCAGTTTTTTCCTCCCACTCTTTAGTTTTTTACATCCCTATTCCTTTCCTGCACTTTCCCCTCCCCCCTCCCTTGTTCCCCTTCTCATTTGAATATTTTCTTCCTTCTTTCCCATATCTATCCACCACTTTGGTTCTTATTTATCCTTTGGGTTTCTCACACCAGAGAAACAATGTGATATTTAAATATGTCCAATTTATTTCACTTAAAATTATGTTCTCAAGGTGCATCCATTTACCTAAAAATGTCTCAAGTTTATCCTTTTTTATGGCAAATAGTACTCCACTGTACATAAAAACCAGATTTTCTTTATCTAATCGCCCACTGATAGGCATATGAGCTGTTTCCAAGATTTAGCTATTATAAATTGTGCTGCTATAAACATGAATGTGCACATGTCACTGTTGTATGAATAAACCTGTTATTTTTTAAAGCTACATAAGTATTATATTTGGACCTAAAATGTCCCTCAAAGGCCATTTTCTGGGGGCTTAGTTGCTATCTGATGGGCTTTTGAAGGTGATTGGATCATGAGGGCTCTAACTTCATCAGTGGATTAATCCACTGATGGAGCCATAATTTGATGGTATTATTAGGAGCTGGGCCTAGTTGAAGAGAATGGGTCATGGGGGCATGACCTGGGAAACTATATCCTGTCCTGGGCCTTCCTCTCTGGCACTAATTCTTTCTGGCTATACTCCTAGCTGCCATGAGATAAGCAGCTTCCTCTGCCACCTCCTCTATCCCTAATACGGAGGTTCAATTGGCTTTTTAATCCTAGAGTCATGTTTTTCTTAAGTGATGAATAAATGTACTAATTAAAATTAACTTGAAAATCAACATATTTTATGCACATATATCCTACCAACCACCAAGGGAGGAACCATCAATCACAATTATACTTCCTAAGAGTCAAAGTACTTAGTCAAAATTATCACAATAACATTCATTAGACATTTACCTTTTCAATCTTGGTTGTACCAGTATTTTTTTCTTGAGCATTCAGCCCTACTGGTTTTTGAATTTCTACTTTCATTCCATTCATAAGGGTTGAAGGTTGCTGTAAATCATCCCATTTATCTTTGAGTGGAGAAAAACAACAATCCTATAAAGAAAAAACTACAAAATAAACTGACAAATAGTGACATATGATCCCCCAAAAAGTACAACATGGGCAAAGTAAAGTTAAGGGAAGTAATATGTATTAAACACAAAAAGGTATTTATTAACTTCCTTGCTTTAATGGCTTATATCCAGTATCTTGAATTCCTCTGAATACTTGGATATTATAAAATAAATATAACTCTGGAGAATTTAATACCATTTTCATGTCTAGATGATTTTTCATAATCTAGCAGTTAAAAGGCATACATACATTGGAGCAATTTAACTGCAGATATTACTTCTCATAACCAATGGAAAACAAATTTCAACTATATAGCTAGGTACAATATTAGCGAACACTCTCAATGGAGAACCCCACGGTCATATTACAAAACTAATGCAACAAAAATAAAATTAGAGAAAATAATTTATAGATTGTAAAACTTTGACTAAGAGCCAATGATTAAACAAAAATCATAATGCTTGAAAGAACAGATATGCCTATTCAGCCTGTTTATATTCCTCTGCTGCGTCCTGTGTCCCCTTACCTACCACTGTCATTCACATACACATAAACACAATCATATAACTTTTTGAATTATGGTCTGACAAATCCTTTTGAATTCCCAAATATATAGCTTTCTTGAAGTTCGGACAACTAAATTTCATTTTCTCAACAGTGATTTGCTTTGTATTACTCTAAGTATCTAACCTTTCGTGCTATTTCTTCACATGATGAATATTGTTTCTTTCCACCAAGACTTGAGGTGACTAGATGGGAGACAGCATCGCCTTCCTTTTCCATTTTCAGCCAATTCTCATCCCAAATATCATCACCTATGGTCACTGACTCCAGGCATGGCATGCCAGTGGGGATCTCATCCTAAAATGTATCAGAAAACAAATAAAAACTATCATTTATAATTTCTATCTGAGCACATTTTTAAATTCGGGTTCACACTTTTCCTCACTCCCAAACAAAGATGGAAGTTTGAATACACAAATGTATTACTTTTTCTCACCTAAAGTGCTACCAAAATAAAAATACAGACTTAACATATAAACTTCATGGTCAGAAAAGAAAACATCTACATTCTGGATACAGGATAGCAGACATCTGATTAAGGTTAGCAGACAACTGATTAGGGAGCCCTGAGCTGGTAGTGGGGAAGACTGAGAAGCAACCCACATCTATACCAGAGATACAATGAAAGCTCAGAAATTTTACTACAGGGCTTTTAGAAGTAAGGGGGTAAAATGGGAATGAAAACAAACAGTACCAGATGAAAGTGGGAGAAGCAGTTAGATCTGGAAATATCCTGTCCTATATCTCTTCCACCTGGTGGAAGACAAAGAGGGTCTTCTGGAGAAAGAAGAGGGATTGTTGGAGGGTAAAGCTGAGGGTAAAGCAAGCATAAGGAAAAGAGGAATTAAGGGAGGACTTTTATATACTGAAAATTCAGACTCTGACCCTCTTTTCAGTATCGCAGGAGAGAGACAAAAGGAAAGAATACAGATACAGCTATAAAGATTACCCAATCTGAACAGAGGAAAAAAGACTAGAAAGAAACCTCTAAAAAAATTGTCACAGACTTGTAGAACAGTATCAAAATATTTAACATTTGTATAATCAAAATTCCAGAAGGAAAAGAGTGCAATGCAGAAAAATAATTAGGAGTACGGCTAAATCAAAAGACATAGATGAAAATTCATAAAGACCCAAAAAGAAAAAAAATACATAAAGACCTTAACTCAAACTGATAAAAGCCATTTATGACAAACTTACTGGCAACATCATACTGGAGAAAAACAAAGCATTCTCTCAAAAATCATGAACAAGTCCCAGGTATCCACTTTCATCACTCTTCTTCAATTAGAGTACTTGAAACTTTAGCCATAGCAATCAAGCAAGAGAAATGAAAGGGATATGAATAGGAATGGAAGAATTCAAGCAATCCTTATTTGCGGATGACATGATCTTTTACATATAAGATTCCAAAAAAATTCCACCAGAAGACTCTTTAGCAAAGTGGCAGGACACAAAGCAATTTACAAAAATCAATAGCATCCTTGTATACTAATAATGAACCCAGTGAAAAAGAAGTCAGAGAAAAAAATCCCATTCACAGTAGCTTCAGAAAAATTTAAATACCCAGGAATTAACCAAGAAAGTGAAAGCTCTGTCTAAGAAAAACTATAGTAGTCTAGAAAAAGAGATTGAAGAAGACATTAGGAAATGAAAAACTATCCCGTTCAATGGGCAGAACTAATGCTGTCAAAATGGCCCTATTACCAAATATGATACATAGATATAATGCAATTCCAATCAGAACACCAACAATATTCTTCACAGAACTAGAAAAAAAATTCCTAAAATTTATATGGAACCAGAAGAGACCCAGAATAGTCAAAGTAATTTCAAGCAAAAGGAGCAGAGCAAGAGGCATTACAATCCCAGATTTCAAGATATATTGCAAAGCTACAGTAATAAAAACAGTTTAGCAAACCCTAAGGAGAATAAACCCAAAGAAATCCATGCTTTAGATTATAACCAACCTGCTGAAAATTAAAGACAAAGAAACTCTGACATGTTCTTTATAAGAGAACTACTAATTATGGTGAATTTTGCATCAGAAACCATAAAGACCAGAAGAAGTGGACTAAGAAGAAAAGAAACAGCAAATGAGATCTCTGTATCTAGAAAAAAAAGTCATTCATATTTTTATTACTATTATTTTTGGTATCAGGGATCAAACTTGGCACCTTGCGCTTGGAGGCAGGCGGTGGAACCACTGAGATAAATCCCTGGCCCTCTTTTTAATATTCTTTAAAATTTAGAATGAATACATTGCCAGTGAAGAAATATAAGATAACTCATTATCAGAAGACCTATTCTAAATGAATTGCTAAAGGAAGCCCTTTGGACAGACATACCAAAATGAAACATTGGAAGTGGGAAAAAGAACAAGTAACAGAAAAGAAATGGGTAAATATGATACACTATTGTCCTTTTAAAATATTTTAGAATATGTTTAAAGGTGAAAAGCAAGAAACAAACTTTCAATATATGCAGGTATATTACATATGACAAGCACATTATAAAAGGGGCAGAAAGGTATAAAAGATTTATATGGTGGTAAGATATAGAATGTCATTTGGTGGTAAATTACAGATTAGGTCTACTGTAAAATGTAAAAGATGTATATTGTAGGGCCAGGGACTTAGCTCAGTGGTGCTGCTGCCTGCCTCGCAAGCACAAGGTCCTGAGTCAGTAAAAAAAAAAAAAAAAAATGTATATTATCATTCTTAGAGTAACCACTAAAAACACTCAATACAAATAAAAAAACCAGATAAAGTAAAACATTAAAAATTTTTCAAATAACCTAAGAGGCAACAGTAAAGTGAAAGGTGAGGAATAAAAATCATGAAAATAAAAAACAGTAATACAGTAAATCTAAAAACAATCACATGAACTATAAATGGTCTAAACATACTAATTAAAATTGTGATTGCTGGAATGGATTATTTTTATTTTATGAAACAAAAAATAAAGAGTAACAGTTAATAAACTGCATATTATATCTTCAAAGCATTACTCAGAGTACAAGACATGGACAAAAATTCTTAAAAAGAAATAGATATTAGCACAAAACTTTCTTTTCAATGAAGAGAAACTAGTAGTATAAATGAAACAATTCACAGCATATACAGTAAAACCTTGGATTTCAAGTAACTTATTCCATGAGTGTTCCACAAGACCAGCAAACATTTCTAATAAATTTTAACTTGATAAATAAGCTATATCATACAATATGAGTAGTATGTGACACCAAATGTCACATGATCACAACTGAGCCAATGGTTCCCTCCCCTAACCTCCATCCTGCTGTAGGATTGTAGGTGATTGGCTTCCAGCCACATGATGTTATGGAGGAGGTCTTGTCCGCAGAAGAGAAGGAGAAAAAGTCAGAGGAATCCTTCAGTTCAAATGAGATTAGGGAGAGGTGTAAAATGTGAGAAACAGTGCAAAATTTTGTAGAAAAGCACCACCCAAATAAGGGTGTAGCAGTCTGGGCAATAAATCTGTTTAATAGCAATGCAATGTCACATTTTTGTGAAATCTTCAAAATTTCACATTTCAGTAAACAGGTGGAATACATTTTGGTGACTATGATCAACAACAACAGACTGTACACTTGAAAACTGGTAAGAGTAAAATCTAACTATTCCTACCACAAAAATGTGAGACAAATACTTAAACAGCCTGAACTAGCCATTCCACCATATATACATAAGTCAGTTTTTAAAAATAAAGAATAAAGATCCATAAAAATGAAGCAAAAATGGAAATAGAATCAATTTAACAATCTTCACTAGAAAACAGAAAAGAAGCAACATTTCCAGACCCATTTTATGAGGTCAGCGTTACCTTGATTAGAAAAAAAAAGCAAAGACAACACAAAGAAATTACAGACTAATAGTTCTCATGAAAACAGACAAAAAAAATCTTCAATAAAATATTAGCAAATTGAATAGAATACAATAGAAAAAAAGAATTCACCATGGCATGTGGGGTTTATCCTAGAAATGCCAAACTAATTCAATATTTGAAAATTAATGTAATACATTGTAGTAATAGAATAAAAAAGAAAACAATGCTATCAAAATATGTAGAAAACAATTTAACAAAAATTCAAGAACAATACATGATAAAAATCTTTTAGCATGACAAGGATGTCTGTCTTGCATTCCTACCCAACATGGCATTTGAAACCTTAGCCAATGCAAAAATAAGGCAGGATTTAAAAAGTTTAGTAAGAAGTAAAACTGTATCAATTTGTGGACAATAACACCTATGTAGAAACCTAAAGTAACCTACAAAGGATATAAGGGCAATACAAAAAAAGCAAAAAATAAAAACAAAAAAGATTTCTATATATTCACAATGAAAAGAAAAAGAAAAAAAAAATAGCACCCAAAACAAATTACCAGGTATAAAGCTAACAGAACACATGCAGTTTGTGAATACTAAAAGTCAGCATTCAAAGAAAACAAAGCCAAATTAATGGGGAGATGTATATACTGTGTTCAAAAATTAAAGGCATCAACTTTCCTCCAAGTTTTCTATATATTTAACACAATTCTAATAAAAATTACAGATGTAGCTAAGCAGATTCTAAAATTCACAAGGCTTACAATGTCTACAGACATTCTGAAGAATAAAGTGGGAAGAATCTTATTACCTGATTTTAAGAGAGATTATAAAGCCAGTAATCATGACAGCATGGTATTGCTGAAGGGAAAGACACAGATCAATGAAGCACAACACAGACTCTAGAAATAGACTCATACAAGGGCCGGGAATTTAGCTCAGTGGTTCCGCCGCCTGCCTCGCAAGCGCAAGGTCCTGAGTTCGATCCCGGTACCAAAAAAAAGTTAAAAAAAAAAAAGAAACAGACTCATACAAATATGGACAACTGATTTGGGATAAAAGCTTTAAAGGCAATTCAATGGAGATAGGATAATCTTTTCAATAAATAATGCTAGAACTGGATAACCATATTCAACAAAATGAACCCTATCCTATATGCCTCACACCTTGTACTAAAATTAACTTGAGATTTCTCAACATTGCAAACACTGTACTTAATAGAAAAAAGTGATACACTGGAATTTCTCAAAATTAAAAACTTCTGCTATAAGAAAGACCATATTAAGAAAATGAAAGAGCTGGAAGTGGAGGAATATATTCGAAAATTACATATCTGACAAACACTCAAAACAAAACAAATGACTCAATTAAAAATGAGCAAAAGACTTGAAAAGATGTTGCACTAAGAAGTATGTATGGACAGCAAGTAAGCACACGAAAAGATGTTCAACATTATTAGTCATTAGAGAAATGCAAATTAAAGCCATGCTGTGATACTACTCTACACCAATTAGAATGGCTAAAATAAAACTTACTGGCAATATCAAGAGCTGACAAAGATGTGTAGCAACTGAACTCTGATACTGCTGGTGCAAAGGCAAAATGGAACGGCTTTTCTGGAGAACAATTGACAAACATTTAATACATGACCTAGAAAACTTACTCCTGGGTATTTTTCCTGTATGAATGAAGCTTATGTTCACAAAAACCTGTATACAAATACTTTTAACAATTCTATTCATAATTACGCTAAACTGTAAACAACTCAAATGTTCTTCAGTGGGTGAAGAGCTATCTATACCATAAAATACCATCCAGCAGTCAAAAGCTTTGATCTGAACTACTGATACATGCAAGTACTTGGCTGAATCTCAACAGTACTATGCTGAATGAAAGATGCCAATCTCAAAGGTTATATATTGTATGACTCCACTTATGTAATAGCCCTGAAAATGTAAACCTAGAGTGAGAGAATAGACAGTGATTGCTAGGGGTCAGGAATGTAGGGAGACATTATAAAAGGGTAAGTCCAAGGGAGTTATTTCAGACGATGAAGCTGTTTTTCATCCTGATTGTGGTATTGGTTACACAAAACTGCACAAGTATTAAAACTGACAGGTATACCAATAGATACTCAATTTTGCTGTATATTAATTTTAAAAGAAAATATTAAAAGTTATGAAGGAAAGGAAAAGGTGTCATAGCATTTACACAGTCATAATAAAGTAAATATTGAGTGGTGGTCTAATGGAAAACTTGATATATTAGTGGGGGAGGGGACACAAAGGCTATGCCTTGTGTGTGGTGAGATAAAGAGATAAAAGAGAACTAAATTTTCATCTTTCATTGTGGGAAGTTTATAGATACTTAAAAATGAAAAATCATGAAATATAATTGTGGTATTTAATTAAAAAGACATGAATTGCAAAAGTAGTAGCTAAAAGAAATGTAAACAGTTGTTCTGGGAAACTGGAAATGTAGGAAGGGTCAGGCGTACTGTAGGCTATATGTACATCAACATTTGATTAAAACAAAAATATGTTCTCCAAAATAGTTGTAAATACCTTTCCTGGTGGGTTTTACCTACTAATGTTTCTCAATACTAGTGTCTAATCACTGCATTACTCTTCAAGATAGCCCAAAGCTGTGGGATAGAAACTCACACATGAGAGTCAGACAACACTTTTTCTTTTCTGTGATCAAGGTTATGCTGGTACAACTTTGGATACGGTGACTGTGGAAGAGGGAGATGCTCTATGGTACTGAAAGCAGTGGGGCTGAAAGAGCTATTTTATTTCATTCCTCTTCATTTTGAAGTAATTAATTATGTTTTTTAAAAAAACTACTTTGCCTTCTCCTACCTCACTTTCTTCCTTCAGATCCTTTGGCTCTGTGATGGACCACTTTGGATCATCTTCACATTTCTTCTGAATTTTCAAAGAACTGAATTCAGAATCCTTTAATGGCTCCTTTGACACAAATTTAAGGTGAGTTAAAGACAGATTATCATTAGCACATTGCTAGTAGATATGAAATCAATATTATTTTATCTTCTATGTTATAATGCTGTTTCCAAAAACTACATGCCTTTAAATTTTGGTGGGAATTTTTCACCATGGTTCATACAAATGCTACTTTATTTTTTAACTTTATTCATAATCCTAGGCCTTTCAATTATGTTAAACAATTTCAGTTAACAGATTTTTTGTTTTGTTTTGTTTTGTTTTTGGTACCAGGGATCGATCTCAGGACCTTGTGCTTGCGAGGCAGGCAGCAGCACCCCTGAGCTAAATCCCTGGCCCTGTTGTTGTTTTTTGAGACAGGGTCTTGCTATGTAGTTCAGGCTGGCCTTGAACTTCAAGTGATACTCTGGCATCAGCCTCCCAAGTGTTAGGATTATTGGCATGCGCCACTATGTTTAGCTGTTAACAGACATTTTTGAGCATATATTATCAAATGTTTATAGGATAGCTCTTTGGTTCTAAAGAATGAATCAGGCCACAGCTCTAAAGGAACTAAAAAATAATGTGAGAAAACACACAATCAGGTAATTACAGTGGAGTCTTTCTGAGTAGAACCATCACAATGATCTGTTGAAAAGATTGAGGGAAGATGTCTTAGAAGAGGCAATGAAGGAAATAATACAAACTGTTAGAGCACTTAAAAGACTATTAGGAATTAGCAAGGCATCGCATGGTAGGTGGTGTGTGTGCAGCATAAGGGAGCCTTGCTACCTCAAAATACAGATTATGGTGGGAGAGCAGACTTTTATCTTTTTCTCTTGTACAGAAAAGTCTTATTTCTAGGACTAAACTATGATTATCTGAAGACATAAACAGATAAGATATTCTAAAAGTGTTAAAGGTTAATTCACTGTTTTAAGATGAGGAAATATTCTTCTATTCCAGTAACAATGACTAAGAAAAATTCAGGCCCATAATGAGCCAAACAAATTCAATTCATTTGACATTAACTAGAAATTTAAAACCTTTATATGGTTTTGAACACACAGCAGGAAATACACATATTTTGCATAAGATGCTAATCTGTCAGTAGTCAAAATGGCCTTGCCTTTTTAACTTTTTAAATAAACATCTACTTTAAAAACTCTTATCTCTATAGCTTTAAAAGTCAGGATAATATATATTAAACCAAAAAATTACATTGTATTCAAAGAAAATAAAAACCCTTGTTGTATCAACAAAAACCAAAACATTTTGACCCTCAAACACATCCTATATTCTCAGCCCAGTACTCATTGTCATGAGGAGTATCAGATTTAGATTACATGTTTATTTGTTCAAGCAACATTAAGTTCTTACTAGGTACTCTACTGTCCTTTTATCTATAATGTACCAATCTGGTAAAGTTGTTATGAAGATTAAATCAGCTAATATATAAGTGCTTAGAACAGTGCCAGTGATGTAATATAAGTTTAATAAATATTATTACTTAGGTGAGAAAAATATGTAATAAAAATATTACAGTAATATTGTTTATTACTGGGGGATGCTGGCAAAATGTTTATAGAGAAAGAAAGAAATAAGACTTGAAAAAGCACCTGAGTAGTTCAGGGGGAAAAATGATTAGCATTTGGACTGGAAGGAAAATCACAACTACACAAAGAAACCACGAGAATTTAGTACAGAGAGAAATCATCCAGGAAGATACACAACTAACGCACAGGCTTAAACCAGCAAATAAAGAGAGACAAGGGAACCATTAAGATCACTGTGTAAAATTTCCTAACTTCTTACATTTTGAAAGCCTCAGTTCCCTCTCTATAAAATGAGGATAACTAAGATTAACAACAGAAATTATAATAGTACTTTCAAAAACCTCTTACCAGGGTATGTAATTCATTCTCTTTAGACTGTGGACTTATCTTTCGGTCTTCATTAAAATAGTGGTGCTGGGAAAGATAACCCAGGTCTGTCAAGACATCATCCAGCCCTCCAATGGATTTAGTGTATAAAGCTAAAGGGTTTAGGTTTCTGAAACCCTAAGATTAAAAATAAAAAATAATAAAAGAGGAGGAAGGGTTTAATTATATAACGAAATGAGAGAAGGTGAAAAAGCACTTCATAATTTTCAAATGCCATGGAAGTACACTCTTTTAAAATTCAACAGTCAAGTTTCTCCATATTGACACTTTTACCTAGTTACAAAAATTAACATCAATAGTCTTTTTTTTTTTTTTTGTACCAGGGATCGAACTCGGGTCGTAACATCAATATTAAATGATATAAATATCACTATCAATAATTATAAAATAAAAGTCTTCTTCTCAGAATGACCTTAGACCCAAAATATTTTGGGATAAGACTATTCAATCATTTATTTAAAATTAAAATATTCACATTCTAAAGGACAATTAGCCAAATGTGGTTTTTGGATGGTCACAGGAAAATTAAGACAGTATTCCTCATTAAGAATCCAGGAATCTAATGTATGGATTTAAGATAAAAGAATAAATCAAATAACCTTCTGTATTAAATTCTCTTATATCTTTAGTGTTGAAATTCAACAAAATATGTTGCAAAATATATCCAGACTGCTCTACCTTAGAAGGGATATTTTCTCGACATACAACAGCATGGCCCTCTGTTCTCAAGACATGATGGAAATAAATGTCTTCATTTGAAGATGTATCACAGAGAAAAATGTTAAGGATTCCATCTATATATTCATCCACTACTCCCACTAATGGCTTTAAACCACATAACTTCTGAAACTGCAAAATAGCCCTGGATGTCCAGTGTTCCTGAAATAAAATCAATATATTAGATTTAAGTGATTTGTAAAACATGGATGATAGTGACCATATACAAAAATGAGTTCCTCATGAACTACAACTTTAAGTGGAAAAATAAAATTATAAAAGAACCAAAATAACATTTAAGGTATTTATGCTTTAGGGATGTAAAAAGTCAGCATAAAGAAAAAATGATAAAAATGTGACTGTGGAAAATTTTTAAATAATTTTTGATGAGCAACTCATTTTCAGAAATAGTTAAGATTATTAGACCAACCTGCCTACAGAAAAATCCCCTAGAAATTCTGAGTAAAATATTATTTTTAATATGTCTAACAATATAAAAATCTAACAGTCTACAAAACTAAAAGGAAAGTAGGAACTACTTTTGCTGTAAAGGTACTGCTAATCCAGGCAAATCTGAATTTTGGTTTTGATGGTCTAACAAGTAAAAGGGGACATATCAAAACCAGGGTCTATCATGGAAGGAGTCTTGAGAACTTTTCCTTCAATAAGCTAAGATACTGCAGGATATAACTCTGAGGCCGAGAAGGGATTTGCAGTTCAACTTTTACTTCATCAGAGTGGTCCACAAATCCTCAAGTTGTTAACTTAAACTAACATGGTGCTAGACTGGTGGAACTCCTGGGGACCAGGCAGAAGCAAATGAAAATTCTCTCTGGAGGTAGGCAACCTCAGTCTGTACTATTGAATCATTCTTTTTTTCTCTCTTTTTGTTGTACTGGAGATTGAACCTAGAGCCCCCGCAGTGAGCTACATCTCCACCCACCCCCCTCAGACTTTGAGACAGGGTCTCACTACCATGCTAAATTGCTTGAATTTTTCCATCCTCTGCAACAGCCTCCCAGAGTGCTGGGATTACACGCACAGCTCGAGACAGTCTTACAAATAATTTTTCAAAGACAATTAAGTAGAGCACAGGCACAGATAAACACACAGAAACGATAAATCACAAGATCAAGTAGAAATCACATAACTGAAACAGTCAAAATCTTAGACAAATTACAAAATTAAATTCAATATACCTAAAGCAGAATCTCAACAACAACAAAAAAACCGCTCAACTTAGTTTGAAAGCTTCTGCAGAGATCAGCCATCTATAAAAACTGATACAGCAGAACTAAGAATTTTTAGAAAATAAAGATATAATAACCAAAACTAAAAATTGTATAGGTTAATTCAGTAACAGATCAAATAGGATTAAAGAGTAAACTGGTAAAGTAGAAGACAATCTGGAAAAAAATTACCCAGTATGGATAGATGTAAAATGCAGAAGCAAATTAAAGGCTATAAATGAAAAAACTAACACACTTTTAAAAAGATGCAGAAATAGAATAAAAATACGATTATGGGGCATAGGCAATAAACAGAGATAATGACTAAGCATTTACAAAATTTAATAAATTAACAAACCACAGATAAAAGAAATTCAGTGAACAAAGTAAGATAAATACAAATAAATTAACACAAATTAATTCACACATGAACACATACTAAAACTGGAGACCACAAAAAATAAATAGAAAATCTTGAAACACAGGTAAAGAGGACATTGCCTTCAAAGGAATATCCGTTAGACTGAAAAGATAACCTCTCCAAAAACAGTAAGAAAAACCAGAAGTTAGCAATAATACTTTCAGTGTGCTAAAGATATTGCCAGCCTAGAACTCTACAGCTAGCAAATATATTTTTGAAGAATAAGTACACAGACTGCACAGACTGGGAATACAGTTCAGACTGTATGCTTAGTGTTCATGAGGTCCTGGATTTAGTTCTAGCACCAGAAAAATAATAGTACAAAATAATGATATTTTCAGATAAACATCACTAAATTTGATACTCTCACTAAGAAAAATCCTAAAAAATGTGATTCAAATAGAAGAAAAGTGTCCACAGAGTTTTGTAAGAATGAAGAACTGAGAAACATGTAATTAAATCTAAATAAGCGTTAATATTACTTTATACAGTGAATTTCTTAAGGGATTAAATAACATTAACACAACAAAAATAAGTTAGGCAGTTAAAACAGTTGAAGTGTTCTAATGTCCCTGCACTGGTATAAACATATGTACCATATTTCCTAGTTATTAAAGCAATATAGGATATTACTTAGTGGAATGATTTTTTTTTTAAATCTCTTCAAGAAAAGACATGCAAGGTGAGAAAAAAGAATAGGTAGATCAGAGAATATATAAGATAAAGAATGAGATTTAAGACTAAATGCATCAATTATTACAATAAATACAATTAGAATAAATAGTTTGGCTGAAAGGCAAAATGTATTAGCTTGAATTTTAAAAATACAACAATATATAATTCATGAAAGATATATCTAAAACATAAGGATACAGAAGAATTGAAGGTGCAGTGATGGTTTAAAAATATAGCATAAAAATATTAAGTGGAAACTCAGAGCTATATTAACTTAAAGAGTTTTTAAAGCAAAAGGCATTAGGGCCATGGATTTAGCTCAGTGGTTCTGGCACCTGCCTTGAAAGCGCAAGGTCCAGAGTTCGATCCGTGTTACCAAAAGAAAAGCAAAAGGCATTAGTAGAAATAAAGAGGTTAATTTCATAATGATAAAATATTTAGTTTTTCAGGCAGATAACAAATTTTATATTGTATATGCATGCACCTAATAACATAGCCTCAGTGTATACAAAACAGAAATAGATAATCATAAGCTGAACCACACTTTCAATAATTTAAAAGAAGCAGCACAGAAGAATCTAAAAAGATAAATATTTTACACAATAAAGTTGATCTTAAAAACATACAGAATACCACACCCAAATTTACAAAAAAGTGATCCTACACAGGACAATAAAGAAACTTCCTCATGTTTCAAAGGGCTGATGTTATCCTGGAGGATTATCTCTGACTAGGAAGTATTTAAACAAGAAATCAATAACAAAAAGATAATTTGTAAACATTTTTTCTAACTTAAACTTCTGAGTAATCCATCAGCCAAATGAGAAAACAAAAGAGAAATTAGAAAATATTTTAATGAGTAACAATAAAACTAATAGAAAAACTTCTGACTTATGCCCTAAAAACTTAAAAATTAATAATCTAAGTTTCTAAGCTTAAAAATTAAATTAAGTTGGAGAAATAACAAAATAAGCTCATAGAAAGCAGTTAAGGACATAATAAAAATAAGAAATAAAATGGAAAGTATACTTATATCAAAGAGGATCAATAAAGCAAAAATTGGTTCTTTAAAAAAATGTACCATAACAATGAGTATCTTTCTCTTAAGATCATAAAAAACGAGAGGAGACACACATAAACAATACTTGGAATGTAAAAGGACACACCACTACAGATGTTAATTAATATAAAAAAGATGAGATCCTATTCAATATAGTACTTGAAATTTTAGCTACAGCAATTAGGCAAGATAAGCAATTAAGGGAATACAAATAGTAAAGAAAGAAGTCAAATTCTCTCCGCTTGCAAATGATATGATCCTATAGTTAGAAGACCTTAAAGACTCGACCAAAAGATTTTAGAGCTAATAAAATCAGCAAAGTAGCAGGCTATAAAATCAACATAAAAAAATTAACACCAATAATAAACCCATTGAAAAAGAAATTTGGAAAACAATTCCATTTGTGATAGCTTAAAAACAATCAAACAAAAAAAATAACCCGAGGGGTCAATCTAAACAAGGAGGTGAAAGACCTCTACAATGAAAATTTCACAACACTGATGAAAGAAATGGAAGACAGTGGAAGATGGAAAGATCTCCCATGTTCGTGGATTTGCCGAATATTGTTAAAATGGCCGTATTACCTAAAATGATCTACAGATTCAATGCAATCCCCATCAAGATACCAGGAACATTCCTCACAGAACTAGGAAAAAAATCCTAAAATTTATATAGAAACACAAAATGCTCAGAACAGGTAATGCAGTCCTAAGCAAAAATCAAGGGTGGAGGCATCAAAAACAATACCCAATTTCAAATTATACTACAAAGTCACAGTAACAAAAACAGCATAGTACTAACACAAAAACAGACACATAGACCAATCAAACAGAACAGAAAAGATGGAAACAAACCCACACAACTACAGCCATCTGATTCTGGATAAAGAAGCAAAAGTATACACTGGATAAAAGCCTCTTTAACAATGGTGCTGGGAAAACTGGATATCCATTAGCAGAATACCAAAACTTAATTTTATCTCTCACCTTGTACAACAATCAACTCAAAATAGATCAAAGACCTAAGTTTTAAGACATAAAATTTTGAAACTGCTAAAAGAAACAAGGGAAACATTTGAAGCTGTTGTCACAGGCAAAAACTTTCTGAATAGGGCTCCAATAGCACAGTAAATAACAGCAAGAATCAATAAATTAGACTACATCAAACTAAAACAGTTTCTGCAACAGCTAGGGAAACAGCTAATAGAGAAGAGATGACCTACAGAATGGGAGAAAATTTTTGTCAGTTACTCCTCTGACAGAGGATTAATATCTAGGACAGTGATGCTGAACCTATGGCATGCATGTTAGACCCGGCCATTTGTTATCATTGAAAGCTCTAGAAGGTTCACCATCACTAATCTAGGATGAAGAACTCAAAAAATTTAACACCAAAAACAAAGTAGTCCAATCAGTAAATGGACAAAAATTGAACAAACACTTTAAAAGAAGTACAAGTGGCTAGTAAGTATATGAAAAAATTTTTAATATTTTTAGCCATTAGAGAAATGCAAATCAAAACTACACTGAAATTTCATCTCACCCCAGTGAGAATAAAAAATAAATAAACATTGGCAAGGATGCAGTGAAAAGAAACTCTTGTACACTGCTAGTAAAACAGGAGTAAATTAGTAATCGGAACGTAAATTAGTACAGCTGTTAGGAAAATGAGTATGGAGGTTTCCCAAAAAGCTAATAATAAAGTTACTGTTTAATCTGGCTATACCACTTTTTGGTATATGCCCAAAGGGATTAAAAACAGCATACTATAGGGATAC